CCAGCCATCATCCCACAACTCCCGCAAACTCCGCCGAATCGCCTCCGCCGGCAACCCTGCCAAGGCCCTGCGCCGCGCGCGCACAAGCGACGGATCCCCCGCCACCGCCAGTCCTTGCTTAACCTTGACCAGAGTCGCCGCGAAGCAAGGAGTCGTGTCCTGGATGGCGGCGTAGCAGGCCTCACGGTCCCCCCTCTCCGTCCACTGCCCCGCCTCTTGCCGCTGGGCGGCCCGCAGCCTCGCCAAGACCCGGGTGGCGGTCTCTGAGCTTCGAAGCAAAGCCTCCAGTCGCCGCAAACAGGCCATACGGGGCCGGCCCGTCTTCTCGACAACCGCTTCCCACTGCATCCGAAACCGACGGCCACGTGGGGGGCCGACCTTCGCGCACCTGCCCCCACCCTCTCGCCCCCCGTCCGCAGACAACCGCCCCCTGCCGTCTGCCGCGACTCGATCCGTGTTGTCGACCCCAGGAGCCCCTTCAACCCCCGATCCCCCTTCCGCTCCCTGCTCTCCTACCAGCTCCTCCACCTCAAGCAGCACCTCCGGCGTCCGTTTCCTGCCCATCCTCGATCCATACATGGCCCTCTGCCGCACGTAGGCCTCCATCAACGCCTCGTCGAACTCATCGTCAAGCAAGGGGGGCCGAGTAGGCGCCGTCTCTCCCTCCCGCTGCTCCGACCTCAGAGGGCGGGAGCCATCGCCGAGAGACCCAGCGCGGGCCCGCCGAGGAGCCGCGCGGCCGAAGCTCTCTTCCTCGTCCCCCATGTCTCCCGTTTTCCTCCGTTTCGCTGGCACCCTCGTGGCGGGTGCTGCCTCAGGGAAAGTGCCCGGCACGCGCGGAGGCAAAGGCAGGACGGAGGAGGCCGCGCTCGTTGCCATAGCCGGCGAGGGCACTGGAGGCATGAATGCGGGGATGGGCGGGGGAGCAACCTCCTCTCCTTCCGTGTCAGCCTCCCCCTCCCCATCTGCTTCGTGCAACTCGTCCGCCAGCGCCGCGGCTTCCCACTCGCGGCCCTCCGACGCTCCCACCGCCTTGCCAGCCTCGGACCGTGACGTACCCCGCCGGGCACGCTTGACATCCAACGCGTCCTCCGCCTCTTCCTCCGCTGCCCCCGCGACCAGACACGCGCCGAAGGCAGCCCGAGCCCCCGCGAGGCCCGCTCTCCGCGGCCATTTTTTCTTCGTCAGATTGCGCGCCTTCTCCGCCCACGCCTTCGTCTGCGTGAGGTGCGGTAAGAGTCTGAGAAGGGCGTCGGGTAGGCGGAACCGGGTCCTCTCCTCCGCCAAGGGCCTGCGACCTGAGCCGTCGAGGACAGGCAGGCCTGGTCCATCCCGGTCTTGCCCGCCTTCCTTTCCCGCCCCTCCCCCGCCGGACTCGGCGTCGAGCCCAGTGGCTACAGGGGGTGCGGTCTGGATCGCGTGGAGGACCTGCCGCGACGGGCGCTCCCCTAACGCCAGCGTCCTCAGGGTCTCCCAGTACCTCTTCAAGTCGAGCAATCCAGCCTCCGCGTGCCTCAAGTCGAAGCTCAGCTTGCGCCGTTGCCTCGCGGGAGGTTCGACGGGCTTGGGTCCTGGCGCGAGCTTCCCCTCCACACAAGAGCCCGTGCCATCCTCGCCTTCCTCCTGGTCTGCCCTCTCCTCCCGGGCCCCTCCCCCGCCTGACACAGCCTTAACCTTCGAAGAGGACAAGCCCGTCGGGGCCTGGGAAAGACAATTTGTGTCCACGCTCGCCACGAGCGTCACTTCCAGCTTGACGTGGATCGTCCCCAGAGTCTGAGCCCAAGGAAGCCGCGAGGAGCACCAGTCCGGAGTCCCTCCCTCTCCGACAAGACCCTCTCCCTCTTCCCTGCCGTCCCTCCTCATTCCGACGCCCGCCCCCCCTTCCTCGGGCCCCACCTTCAGGTCGATCTGCAGCTCCCGCGTGAACGTGTCCTTCCCCACCACGGCCCACTGCCTGCTCTGACCGGTACTGCCTCGGTAGCCCTCGACGCCGGCAGCGTCTCTGCCCTCGCCTGTCCCTTGGGGCGCATCCAGCACTACTTCCAGAATCCTGAGATGATCCAGCATGTCCTGCAGCATTTTCCCCCACGCCGAGACCGCTTCCTCGGGGAAGAAAGCCGCCAACAAAACGGGCGGAAGCTCGCGCATGCGGGCGCCCGCCGCCACGTGCTCCCTCAACAGCTCCACCTTTTCCCCGGTCCAGGCTACCCTGACCAAGCCATACACCCTCACATATTTCCCCACCGGCATCTCGGCGAAGAAGGCCGACAGGTCGACGGGGGCTACAGGGGGCCTGGGGGCAGTTGGCGGGTCGGCTGGCCCCATCCCCGCGCCCAGGCCAAGGCCCGCTGCTCTCGATGGATCTCCCTCCCTCCCTTCTACCCCTCCTCCCTCCCCTACTGCCGCCTCCCTGGCCATGGCGTGTTGCCAGAGCATGTCATGCAAGTACTCGATGCGTGGCATGGCTCGCTGCAAGACGCGCAGATCCTTCTCCGCCCGCCGCCAAGTCTTGACGTCGATAGGCTCGGCCTCCTCGCCTGCTTCCTCCTCCTCGTCCTCGTCCTCCTCTCCATCTCCGTCCAGTCTGCCCGCTCCACCCTGCTCGAACATCCCCCCCTTCTCTTCCTCATCCTCCACAGTCGCTTACTTCCAGAAAATGCGGA